CTCTCTCTCTCTCTCTCTCTCTCTCTTCTCTCTCTCTTTCTCTCTCTCTCTTTCTCTCTTTCTCTCTTTCTCTCTTTCTCTCTCGTTCTGTCTCACAGAAAACGTTGATGATTTAATACATACCGTGATTTTATCTTTTTAATAACTAATAATTACGTTCACCTTTAAACAAGAGTTCATGTCATCCCAGATTCAAAGTGAGGGGATTTAGCTCCTAATCAGTATACATTATTCATTATTCTAACGCCTTTGATCGCCCCCCTCCCCTCCTCCTCCCCGCCCCCTTTACCTCCTCCCCACAGCCACCCTTATCGCGCTAAATAGAATTCCGATGACACTATTATTCAGATTTAATTTATAACGTTTATTATCTTTGTGGAAGCGTATCGTGCTCACATAACGCTTAGAAGTCCACCTCATGAACAGTTAATACATGTACAAGGGGATAAAAATTGGCAAGAGTTCTGTGCCGTGAGAAAGTCTGTTGTTGTTGTTGTTGTTGTTGTTGTTGTTGTTGTTGTTGTTGTTGCTGTTGTTGTTGTTGAATGTCAAGCTGAGTTTTTAGCGCCGCTGTGGCTGTAAGCGGTGGCAAAGGTTAACAATGTGGGCGGTTGGTGGGTGCTCTGGTGTGGTTTGCTTCTTCTTTCCTATCAAACATCTATCGTCTTTATCTCCCTTCTTTCTTGTGTTTGTTACTCTTTTGTAACACCTCTAATCTTCGGCACCTATATGAGCTTATTGTGTTGCAAGTGCCGTAAAACACTTACTAAAACTAAAAGGTTAACGAGACATTTCATTATTGTACAAATAAATAATACACTTCTTTACAACCGACAGTATTTGGGTTTTTTTCATTACGAAAGAAAGAATCTTTGATAAATCCACACACTTAAAATCTATACTTTTTTTCTTTCTGGTTACACTATAACAAATTAATTGCGTTGTTTGTTTAAACTACATGTCGTATTCACAGGCTAAAAGTGAGACTTTTATATAGTTCAGAACCAGTAGAAACCAGTAATTAGTTTGACTCTTTTGATCGTCCCCCCTTGTACTAAAACGAATTCCGATGACATTATTCAAATTCAATTTATAACGTTTATTATCTTTGCTGAAGCTAATCGTGCCCACATACGGCTTAGTTAGACCTCCTCATGAACTGTTAATGCGACGGGATAAAATATTGGCTGAGTTCTGTGCGGTGAGAAATTATAGTCTACTGTTGTTGATGTTGTTGTAGAATGTCAGGCTGGGTTTTTAGCGTCGTTGGTGTTGTTGTGAGCGATGGCAAAGGTTAACGAGATGGCGCCGGGGAATATTTCAATACCACACATCACCATAACAGACTGTACAATAACAAACATCGCTATAACAGACAGTACAATAATAAACATCACCATAACAGACATTACAATAACAGACGACCATGAATGTTTGTGGACAGTCACTTTGGTCTGTTTGACAGTCGCCCCGACCGTCGGCTTTGGTAAAGTTCATGGGCGCAATTATTGTCCTGTGATGGATTAGAATACTCGTCCTTATCGTTGTCTCTATTTTTCACCAAAACCTTCCTCCTTCCTTTCTTTCGCCTTCCTTTATCTCTCTTTCTCTCTTTACCTTTCTCATATCTCATAATGCATATTATTGCTTGGGTATTTCTTTGAGTATTTATTTGCGTCCGTCTGTGTGTCTGTCTTTCTGTCTGTAAATGTGTATAGATATGTAAGCACGTGTGTGTGTGTGTGTGAGAGAGTGTGTGTGTGTGTGTGTGTGTGTGTGTGTGCGTGTGTGTTTGTGTGTGTCTGCCTGTCTGTCTTTCTGTTTGTCTTTCTGTAAACGTGTATAAATTGTGT